GACTCGATCAGGAAAGACCTTTGTGTATCCTTTCGACGCACGACCGAGCATCCTTGTCGTTTTTGCGGTCGACCCGTAATAGCGGCGACCAGCGAGCGCGGATTCTTTATTCTCCGCTCGCGCGCTTATCTCGAGAGCAGCGGGAACCGAGTCCGCCGCGTCCGTTCGGGCTCGAACCGATCGACCGAACCTCGATCGCTCGAGACACCGGCCGATGTTGGCTCGTGCGTCGCTCGAATCGAGATTGACACTTCAAACTCGTTTCCAAGAAGCGATATAATCGCGGGCACGGAGATCTCGAAGGTAAAACCCCACGCGCCCATTAACATATTAACGCTCGTATCAGGTTTTACTACCGCGACGCGAGATCCCGGACGATCGGCGAAATACTCGAAGAGTATAAATACCCGAAGAACCGCGATATCGCGGTATCCTCGCGAATTTCCTACGAGTCTAACGGTAGAGGGAAACAACGCGCGATCGTAAACGAGAAAGCGAAGCGACGCGTTCGACGCGGCCGTTGTAGCCGCGCGAGAACAGGACCTAGGAAGGAATCGTCTCGGATCGGCGGAATACTTCTCCCTCCCCGAAAGCGCATACATGCATAATCCAGCGGGGCGGTGGCGGCCGTGCATCTATGCGGCGATCGTGGCGCGTTCTCGTGCCCCGGCTGCATACCACCTACGTCAGAGGTGTACCGACGTACCGGCGCGCAGCGTGCACCACCACCAGCGCCGTAAACACCGCTGAAAGCAGCTACGGCGGCGGCAACAACGACGACCGTGCTCGCCTCGTGCCCGCTCGAGGGGCGAAGGAGTGGGACCCGAGAAGAGGAGAGGACCGCGATGCTGCCCGCCCGGGAGAGGCGAGAGGCCGGGGCCGAGCGAGCAAGGTGCACGGTCCGAGGGAAAGAGGAAACGAGAGGAACGGTAGTCTATGGTCCAGCGACTCCGCCGCCGCAAGAAAGAAAAGAGGAGCGCGAGCTGAAACGGAGCCGAAGCGTGTGGTCTCTCGGCGACTCGTGGCCAGTTTCAGTCGCGGCACTCGACCGTCGGGCTCGCGGATCTCTCGCAAGAGCGGCGACCGCCTCGAGATGCGAACATCGTCGGCCGCACTCCCGACCGCACTTCCGACCGCACTTTCGACCGCATTTTCGACCGAACGGACCGAACCGAACTCGACACAGCCGAGCAGCGGTGCGAGCATCTGTCCGATGAACTTCTGACGAGCCGCGTGTCCGAGTCGGTGCTCTCGGCGCCGTTCGTCCCCTCGAGGATCTCGAGGACCTGTGGAATCTCGAGCCGGTAGCTGGCCGTATCGTCGATCGTCGTTCGCCAGGATCGGCCGGGAACGCGACGAGCCTGATCCTTGGGAGATCGGCGTAACGCGTACAGATTCCTCTAGCGCTGGGCGAACATTTGTCGATCGCAGCTACGAGATATCCGGATAGCCATGATCTATCAGCCGAATCGCCAGACGCCGACCATGTCCGCGAGGAAGACTTCGCCCCGTCCTCAACGGCGGAGCTTGCAAGCGTCGTCGGGCAAATGCGTGAACGCGAAGGCGAAGCGCGCGGCCGACAGGACCGGGAACGAGGATAGATGCAGGGGACGGTGCAGAGTGCAGTGGAGCGAGAAACACGTGAAGGAGGGCCTGGTGCTCGTGCAAGAGGCGCAGCTCGCCAGGGTGGTGAAGACGAGTCCCATCTCGGAGCACTACGAGATCGACCCGAAGCCGTTCGCCAAGTAAGTCCGCGAAGCCGACGCGATGCTCTCGGTATCGAGCGCGAATCGACGAATTAGCCGTGCAATTTCACGGGACGCGATTCGCTTGTAGCCTCGGTCTATCGGTCTCAGTTCGAGAGAGAAGAGGGGACGAAAGAAAGTTTCGCCGGTGAGACTTCGGTGCGTTCGGTTATCGCGCGCGTTAATGGAAGCTTCGACGACCGTAGGATAACCGAGCGTCAACGCGCGGCAACTCGTTCGGTGCTCGATATCAGCCGCGATTGCTCCTCCGCGCGTTTGCATCCTTAATGAAGCGGATTTACTCGTCGGTCGGCTACAAAGGCGCTGCGCTGAAACTCGGATCCGCCTGCCTCCCGGTATATCTCGGTTTCGGTTTCGCCTCGAATTTGCAATTTTCTGCGGTTCTTTTTGCTCGGCCGCTCGTTAGCCAAAGCGTGTTTACGGACCAAAAGCGGCACCGACGCGACGCGACGCGCGAGGGAACCGTGCGAGACCCGCGGCGCTGGACCCGATCCGACGAATGTTAATCCGGCGAACGACGAGTCCGCGTCGACGGTTAATTGCTCGATGTCGCGGGGGCGGTAGAGGAAGGGGGGTCGATCAAAATGGCCAGGAACGACGGCAATAAATTTTCATAAATTATCCCGCGGTCGGATCTGAGGCTGTGCTTTCGACGCCTCGGTCTCCGCGGTAACGGCGGCGTACAGTGCGCCGGATCGGCACGGTACGCGACATTTTGCCGAAACGTCAACTATGTGGAATGTTTTTCTCTTCTTAAACGTCCGTGAACCTTGGAATCGAGAGAATTCATATAATTCAGTACGCATTATAGGTGTAATAAACATGAAAAATTGGACGTTTTAAGAGTACCAATTTCTACGAAAGAAATTCCTCTTCTACATGATGCCGTGACAACTGTATATAATATTCTTATTTCATTTTTGTCTGAAAACGTTCAGTGTAATTTCCTGACTCAAATCACCTTCGCAGTAGTCATCTATTGGAACAACGACGTTTAATAAACTAACGAAAATTATCAAAATTCTTTACCTTCCAGAATATGTCAACGATTATCATTACAAAATCATTTTTTAATGAATCTCAGTGTAATCTTCCTGCGATTGAAAAGTTCTATCAAAAGGTCACCCATATTTTTCCGATCCAGCCCACTTTGCTCGCTCGATTGCCGCTCGATTGCTCGCTCGATTGCTCGATTACCGATCCAATATTCTTACAATTACCCAGCTTTCGATCACCGATAATAACGAGCACCGTAATCGTTGCGGGTCCGCCGCCGCGTACGACACGTTCCACCCGTGCGACGCTGACGATCGGTGGAAGTATACCTAACTGTTCGACGATCGCGATCGACAATTACTTTCTCATACGCGGGGAACAGAAGCGATCGTGGATCTTTTACGGCCCTCGAATCGTTCCATCGACGAACATCTCTAACGGTTATGGAACGCGTTTATCGTCGGTCGATCGGCATGTTCACCGGTTTCCCTTCGCGGTCTGGTTTGGGACGTTTCGAGAAGGTGGCCGGCGCGCAGCGTTTGTAACGGCGAAGAAGAGAGCCGCTCGCGTGGGACGTTTGCGTAATAAAGTCCGGCGTGCGCACGTACGTAGGTACGTGGAAGATACTGGCCGAGGCAGAGGCGCGTAAAAACGGTCGCTTCGCGAGCGTCGGGCAACACGCGTCGCGGGCTCAGCCTTCGGAGGCGCCGCGGCGTCGACCTTGCCGAAGAGACGCTCGGAATCCTCCGAGATCGCGACGATCGTAAAAATCATGCTGGCGGCCAGCGAATTTTCGTGGTCGCTTTCGTCTTTTATGCGTCCGCGGCTCGGCGCGGCGTGGCAATGGCCGGCGGCGAACGGTCATTCGGCACCTTCGCCTCGGCCAATTAACTCGCGGAAGCGACCGCTCGGGCCCCGGACTAACCGAATCGGAACGTTTGCTTTCGCAGCGGGCAATGGGCGAAAGTGTACCGGTGCAGGTCGAGATCGACCGGCATCCTCTACGCGGCCAAGTACTCGTCGAGGAGCAGATTCAACGCGGACTGCAGCGCCGAATTGAGGCACGAGATCGCACTGTTGTCCCTCTGCTCGCAATCGCCGCGGGTCGTCCGGCTGCACGACGTCTTCGAGACGCCCAAGGAGATCATCCTTGTGATGGAGTAGTGAGTACTCGCGGTCATCGGCCGGCGGGCGCGCCTCGGACGATAACGAAATCTCGGAATTGGAATTTTCAGCGCACCCGGAGGCGATCTGCAGACGCTCATCGACGGCGATTTGGTGCCCCTCGAAGGTGACGTGGTGCACTTTGTCAGACAGCTAGTAGAAGGACTCGCCTACCTCCACGAGAGAAATATTGCCCATTTGGACATCAAGGTAAGTTCGACCCATAAAAGGTCGAAGCGAACTTGCCGCGTTTCTCGTATATCCGGATCCCGGAACCGAGTCGGCCCGACGGCGTCGCGTCACCGGATAGTTCCGACGATTTCGCTTCGTTTCGATCGCGCGAGCCAAATCGAAGCGCGTTTAGCGAGAAAGAGTCGGACGTGCGAAGCGTCGCGCAACGGTTCGAGCACAATCAACGTCGCGCGAGTCCGGGCGAGTCGGACCGAAAGACTCGAGCTAGACCGATACCATTCGCGTTGCGCGGCGGCTAATTAACGCGACCTTCCATGTAAGCGAATCCTAGAAATCGACGAGTTTCTGCCGAACACCGAATACCCGGAGAACGATCGAGTCTAAAAATAAATAGACGCGCTGACGAAGCAGCTCCTTTTTCCGCGTGAAGCTCGAGAAGCTCGCCGCGCGTTGAACCGATCGAACAGGTCGACACCAACGAATCACGTTCGTTGGTCCAGGACTATCGAGATAACAGTGTCAATTCCGATCGTTTGGATCGTCGAAGTGGTCCGCGATCGATAGGAGAGAATGGGATACTAGCGATCAGTTAACACTTAGCCAATCGAATGGGGAGATCACTCACTTTTCACTTAGCAACGTGTTGCCTTTTATTCTGTTTATCTTTTCTGTTGTTATTTAGCAAGTATTGAAGTGGGATTATTTGCAATTCATCAAATACGGTTCTTGTTTTTACGAAAAGTTTCTAACCAAATTAATTGAATGAGTTCAATTGAAGACAATGGAGGAGGTCGTAGTTATTCTTTTTAGGCGGTCGCCTAATTAAGCAACAACTGTAATCAAATGGAAATATATACAACCTCAATGGTTTATATATTGATACAACGAATAGTTTGAAATTCGTTTAAATAACATAGTTTGTAAAAATAAAGTTGCAACTGCAAGCAATAGTCACTTAATAAGGAACGATAATCTGAGGATTGTAACACTTTTCGCATCCATATGCTTATCGAGTTCGAGTTATCTTGCTGTTTTATTAACTATGAAACTGAAAGAGGAATGTTTAATGACGTACCAGCTGCCCGCATCGTGAGAGCGTTCTCAATAAGCTCTGCTTTTCAAAGAGTCCATTGAGCTTTCGAATTTTTCTAAATGCTCTTATCATCCACCGAGTAAAGCTGTTGCTTTAACACTAAAACTACCCATGGGTCAAATGACCCATGCCTGATGTCTTCTTTTTGCAATCATCAGAAAGGTAACAAATGTTTCTCTGAGAAATTATTAAAGAAATTCATTTAGCACTACGCAAATTGAATTGCAAATCAATTAAAGTCTAAAAAGATGCACTCTTGGAGTTTCTATAGCGAAATTTTCAAAAGTCAATTGAACTGCTCGGTAGTTTCAGTGTTAATAATAATACTGGCCATTCTCGGCTGATCGAATTCCCATGATTACCCCGTTCCCCGTTCGTAAACAAATCGGTATTGCCTTTCACGTTTGTAAAAGTTGGACAAAGGAAAGATACGCGCGCTCGTGCTCGTTCGATCGGTCCTCCGAGTACCTCCGAGCATTAACCGGCGAGACGCGACACGCGTCGAAAAAACTCGGCGGTGCTCCTCGAGCTCGATTTGAAGCGAACTTACGACGCCCGGCCGCGACGCAGTCCGATTCTATCTTGTTCTCGCGTAATTTATCGCGTCCTCTCGATACACGAGCACCGTTCACCAATCGCGAAGACACGAACGACGTTCCAGCCGAGCCGAGATCAGACGCGACGCGTTCCGTTACGAATACGCGCGTAACGGAAACGCTCTCGTCGCCGTTACATAAATTTCAATTAAACATTCAACGCTCAAAAGTGATCGCCGCGCTCGATCTAAGAGCGACGTTTCAGCGACGAGATGAACTCCAGCGAACGATTTCCTCCGCAAGCGTCGAATCCGAGAACTCATCCGATTCCTGTTCACGAATAAAATGACCGTTCCCCTGCGATGTTCGCGTGAAATCGGCGAAAGGCCGACGACCCGTTCGCACGAGACAACAACATCCTTCGCCGAGGCGTTTCGCAGCGCGTGCCGATTTTTCCCCGGCGACGGTTATTTATTTAGTCGACTGTTCCGAGTTCGATCGCTTCCTCCGGCGTACCTTCGCGCTTCGGAACTGCCCGTACGAGCGTAAATACCGAAATAAACTCCGCGAACATGTTCGGCCGTCACCTTCCTCGGAACTTACGACCGGTAAAAAAGGAGAAACGTCGCGCTCGCCGATTAAGAATCGTTCGAACGGAACCTTAAACCCGCCCGATCGTAAATCCGCGCCCGACGTATCTTCCTCGCGTCGATTCGCTTTCATTGGGCCCCGCGAATTTGTCGTCGGCGAAACGTTATAAATCGAACGCCGCCGAGCGGACGTCTTTCCCCGGGAAGTACACTTATCCTCCGGTTCCCTCAACCTTGCGGGGACAACGCGAGGACCGATCTTTCCGGGGAATATCGCGCGGCGGATTCGCCGCGGAAACGATTCTCGCGATCGTGAATCGTGCAACCCTGGCCGGAGGAATCGCTGCGCGCCGCGTTCACGATATACCTACATTATTCCTGCGCTCCATAAACACTCGACCGCCGTATTTGGATATAGCGGGGCGCGTTTCCAAGGGAGAGGAGGGGACGGCGCGCGGCGCGCGACGCGCCGTGGGGCATTTGCCTCCCAAACGCGGTGGAAAAGATTTTCCGAGTGAAATCGTAAGCTTAACACGTTGCCGTGCGATTTCATGGGGCGAAACACGTGGAATGGAGTAAATCGAATATTGAATCATTCGATTGAATCGCATTATCGTCATCGCACGTTCGTCTAACTGAATGTCGCATTGGGTAGCACTGTTTAGAATATAGAAGTGTTTTCAAACAATCATCGTTTAATTCAGTGAACTATAATAATTCGATTTAACGTGTTAAGGCTTGTTCAGAAGAATTTAGTGTCGTCTTTGGTGTTCTCATTAAAAATTAGACTCTGCTTTCAAGTGATGCCAAACAGAATAATAACCCCTATCAAACTCGTTTCTGAAGCACCTGATCATCTTAGTGTTCAATATTTCCGACGTTGCCTTTTTTAAAACTCTCTAGTCGCATCGATAATTAGCAAATAAGAAAAGAATCATGCCACAGCAATGTTTACTTAACCATACGCCTTTCTCTTTGGTTTTGGAGATATCCATGAAAACACTTTTACATTTGAGAGGCAAATTATCGGCAATGCAGACAACGTTCAGCGGACGTGGCAAACGAAGCCGCTTCCGGGCTTTCCGGAACTTCCGGTCGATTCCCGACGGGATCGCAGTGAAACGGCCGAGCTCGGGACTCGCGTCCGGGGTGGAAGAAAAACGGAGCGCGATAAGACCCCACGCTCGTCGCGGTGGAACGACCACGCCCTGACTTCGTCGGTGAATCACACCTGGTCCCTATCTCGCTCGGTACCTACATACGTGCACGCCTGTCCGCCATAACTGGAGCAGCTGCTGATAACTCGCGAAACTCCCGCGAAAGAACTAGGAGGGAATCGCGCGAAGCGAACGGGGAGCATCGGTCGCGAGTCGCCCGAGAGTTTCGCACCGAAACAGCGTGAAACGATCGGTCCGATCGGTTCGGTAGCGTCGCGAGGCTCGCGACGATCGCGCAACGATCGGTTCCGACGGAGAACGCGGCGAGAGATATAATAAAACGCGTTCGCAGCTGCTCCCACGTCTCTCGCGCAAACAAGCAATCGCATTCTGGTCTACTCGGTAGTTTGCGCTCGATGAATCATTAGCTCTGTCCGCGTCTCCGTGGAGCAGCTAACCTGTTCGCCGTAACTGGAGCACCTCTGGCTGTCCCGGCCGACATTTACTCGAACAGAAGTAGCGGAGGAGCAGCAACAGCAGCAGCGGCGGCAGCGCCGAGAGGAGGAGGAGGAGGGGAAATCGAATGTAAACGCCTCGGCTCGTTTCGACCACGCTCGAAAGGGCAATCGTCGACGATCGGCGCCGATCCGCTCCTTTTCTAACGCTGCCCGATGGAGTCCGTAAACGGTTTCGCAAAAACCGCTTTCGGAACTGTCGAATTCTTGGTTTCTCGCGGTGTAAACGGCTCGAGGAGGACGCGGCTTCCCGCCACGTTACACGATGTTCGTCGGCCCACGCCGTTGTTTGGCCGGCGGGCCGAGTCGCGTGTGGGATTCGATGACATCCTTCCGAGTCGTTTAGTTTCGATCGTGTATCGCTTCCCCGTACGAAATAACAAACGAGAGGCTTCGCTGTTATTCGCCGCGGATTTCGGCCGACGAACGGGAACCGTCCTCGTCTTCCACTCGCCTCGGCTCGCGTTCCTCTTTGGTCGCGCGCTTGATTTAATGGCTCGTCCGCGAGGAATTGCGCACCTCGCTGCCCGAGGATTATTTTTACGTCTTTTGTCATTATTTATCAGCCGCGTGGCGTCGCGCGGCGTGACGGGACTACCGAGCGAGAGAAACTTTGAATATTCAGATTCGCCCACGCGCCGATCTCCAAGGACCTCTCGACGCTCGAGCCAGGAAGATTCTACCGAAGCGAATGCACTGTCGCTTCTTCTCCTCCCCCGACCCGTATCGCTTATGTAACGCGCGCGTGTCCACTCGATTGCTCCACCGGTGGAATTTCGAGGATGAAATTCGTGGACCGCCGCGGGAACCAGAAACGCGGCTCGATCCGCCTTGCTAGAGGAGCCGACGCAATGGCCAGTTCTCGGGCAAAATGGCAGAAATAGGAAAAGAGAATTGTTTTGACACTAGAACTACCAGGTAGAAATGACTCATTTCTGATTTCTTTTACAATTACTAAGAAAGTACACTTCGAAAGATTATTCACGGAACGAAGTCTAATAAACTGAAATACACCTCAATTGAAATCTTAGTAAAAGCACGCTTATGGTTTTTATAAAGAAATTTGTAAAAGTCAGTTTAAGTGATCGGTAGTTCTAGTGTTAGCGCCGAATTTGTATATAATTTAATTTATTATAGTGTAATACATACGACTGATAGTTTATCTTATGTTTTACCGAAACGAAGTAAGTTTCCAAGTTATATCGATTCTGTTACCGATTTATAGATCAATCGGCCACCGTCGGACACATCGAATATGCGTTTCCCGTCGCGTCCTCTATCCGGAAAAGAGTCCCATCCATGCAGGCAATAGCTGCGCAGCAAAGATCGCAACCTCGATCGCGCGTGAACTCACCGAGAAACTTAATATTCTATTCTATTCCGTTCTGCGTTCGCGTTTGAATTTATCGTAACAACATCTGCCGGGTTTATGTAAATGGCCGCGCCGCGGCGTTTCTCTCGAAGCGCGCGGGCCGCGTTTCCTCCGCGGCCGTTTCGCTTTACGCGTAAAATCGGTCACGGATGTGCAACAAAGGAGACGCGGGAAGTAAATGAGCGGCAGGACGAGAGATTGTCTCGTGCTGGTATCGCGGGCGAGCATCGAAACGCAGAAGACGTCGGGCGAGTTAATAAAAACCGGCAACGTCCGACGAGCGTCGTCGTGCGACGCGCGATCTCGTTTATAATTGAAATCGGTTCGACGTTGAACGGCCGCATAAAAATTCTTAACGACCCCAGTTTTCGTTGATTGCCGAAGGTAAGAGCGCGCCGCGTGTCCCGTCGTCTCGGGTTTCGATCGTTTATGCCTTATTTACGATCGAAATTCAATTAAACGAAAGAAAAAACCGAGCCTTCGCCAAGCTGGATTAACGACTCAATTAATGGGTTACTAATTGCCGCCGGGAGGCGAGCTGTTCGCCGTGCCTCGTGGACCGCGGGGACTGATCGTTCGCGCTTTTTACCTTTCAGCCGCAAAATTTAGTGATGATGGGCAGCTTCCCCGAGTGCGAGGTGAAACTCTGCGACTTCGAGATCTCGAGGGTGGTCTTGGAGGGAACGGAGGTACGCGAGATTCTCGGGACGCCGGACTACGTGGGTAAGCAGACTTTTTCCTCTCATTTTCTACCGTTCAGCTTCGCGCTGAAACTACCGGACGGTCGACTCGACTTTGTCAAACTTTCCTGTAGAGACACCGACAGTGAGTCTATTGAGATTCCTATTATACGACTGAGTTTACGTATCGCTGAATCAACATCCCCTTCTCCGAAAGTCATCAATAATAAAAGGAAGAAACCAGGATTGGATCGGTTGGATCTGGTAGTTCTAGCGTTAAATAACCGAGTCGACTCGTCTCGTGATATTCTTGCGCTCCCTCTGTTAAAGTCAAGCATGGAACACCTCTTGCCCCTAATGAGCGAGGGATGCAAATCCATGGTAAACAAGGCGACTCGTCTCATATCTTAGCCAAGTTGTTGAAACCAATTATAAGAAAAACGACGTCGAACCAAAAGATCTGACTAGACAACTAACGAAACAATCATGTAACTTAACCCGTTGAGGATGAATGTCGTCACTTGGACAAGCTTTGATATTTAGAATACGAAGTTGTGAATAAACAGTTCGTTCAAATAAGAGATGTAATTAGTTTCCTCTTTCTCCGGCATTTAGGTATTTTTACAATTTAACCCTTCGCACTCGAGAGGTGACTCAGTCACCACGTGATTCGATACAACAAAACTATGAAGTTGAATATTTAATATTTCAAATTAAAGTTTGCACTGCTACGTGAAATATTTAAATGAAACACCTCTGTTGCTTAACTTGTCTATGAATTATCGTTAAATTAGTTTCAAACGATATGACCTATATCTCAGAAAATGTTGAATATTTCCATTGAGAAACTTTCGAGCGCAAAGGGTTAACTTCCTAAAGGTTCTCGATGCTAAAAAATCCGCAAAGGATTAAGTACTATAATACAAACCCGTTAGTAACTGGCTCCAACTTGCCTTTGTTACAAAGGAATAGTCGGTACTATGCAAAACGCGAAAAATTCTCGGGGTCGACGCGTTAATCGCGAACACGCGACGGGAAAAGACCGAGCGAAACACATGTCCGACAAACGATCGGCTCTCGCCGTGCCCGGCGAACGCGCCAGTGCCGTTCGGCTTTCGGTGGAAGGTAGAGATCCGCGGGGCCGAATTTCCGCTCGCTTGAAAAATATAAATTACAGCCGCATCACCGGTATCGGGATGATGTATCGCGCGCATTACTCTGCGCCGTGAGCGCGGCTCGCACGAAGACGTAAACAGGTGTGTCGGCACTTTGCTCCCTCGGCTGCCGCTTAATCGCCACCGATCGATATCTCGCCTCGCTAATTGACGATCTCCGCTTCGGAGCGAGTCCGCGAATATAATGGATATTAATTGACGCGTTAGCCTCATTGCACGATGCAGTTGTCGAAGCTGCCGGTAGCCGCGGCAGCTTTAATAAACCTACTCGGAACAAGTATGGACGCGGGAGCCCACGGAACGCGCGGACACACGACAGCTAATTGCCAATGACGTTTTAAATCTCGTCGCTTTTCATGCGGGCTGCTCGACGTTTGCGTTTCCGTGTCGGAACAATGGACAACGGGGACTGTGTTGTACATAGCTCGGTAGACATTATCGTAGCCGATCTGAATTTCTCGCGTAATTTCGGGTCCGTCGGAACGGAAATCGGGCCATCGTTCCTACGAACGACATCGCGATTCCTTTGTTCGTAGATTACTCGGTAGAAAGAATGTGTCTTGCTTAGGAGAGCAGAGATTTCGACACGAAGTGTTTTATTCCGCGAGGAACGATTGGTTTGCTGCACGGTTAACGACATAATTGATCGGCGACATTATTCTCCGTGATCGTTATCGATTCCTCGAGTAACAGGGCCGACGTAGGGAGATCGTATCGTGAAATATGTTAATCGAACGCGACGTTTTTCGAAACGAACGTTTCTTACGATCGTATCTCGGAGGCTTAGGTGCCTGCGAGGTGTAGCTCGCCTCGCGTTCAATTTTTCTCGCTGGATTATAAATCATTTTGTAACAACTATAACAGCTGTCTCTTCGCCGATCCATCGTCGCTCGGAGTCGTCCGTTGGATGACTTTCTTTCGATTATCGACGCCCACCGGACGACCAATTTTCGTTTGTGAATAAAAATGACATGGTAGATGATGTCACCGGCTAGACAGAGTTTGCTCGACCGAATAACGCGCGACGGAATATGATGTTTCCACGATTTGCGCGTACGACAAGCGAACTACAGTTGTTTTTCAATTTCAGCGCCGGAGATTCTTCATTACGAGCCGATCACGTTGGCCGCGGACATGTGGTACGTACAAGAGCGCACGAATCGATCGCGACGCGCGTATTGGTCGTCGTCGAAAACGATGGGATTGTTTCAGGTCCTTGGGCGTGACGACCTACGTCCTCCTCACGGGATTCTCACCTTTCGGCGGTGAAACCGACCAAGAGACCTTCCAAAACATATCGCTGGGCGAGGTGGACTTCCCAGAGGAGCTGTTCGGGGACATTTCGACGCAGGCGAAAGATTTCGTCGCGAAGCTTTTGGTGCTAGACCCAAGGTACGATCGAATATTTTGAAATCACTATGTCCGCCCCTACAATCCGGTTCTACGATCGTTCCAGTGCACGAATGACAGCGAAACAATGCCTGCGTCACGACTGGTTGCGCGCCGCGCCGATGCAAGCGTCGCCGCATCTCAGAAGATACCTGTCGAAATCAAGGGAGATCCTGCTGGAGCGCGTTGTCAGTCGGGAGAATCTCCGGAGGGCGGCGCTTTTGAGCGAGCAGGCGAGCAGCCAAGCGAATCTGTCGAGCGAATCGAATCATCATCGCGATCAAAGCTTGCAGGACTGCCTGCTAAGCCAGAGCGAGATGTGCCTGAGTCACCGTCTAACCGGAAGCAGATCTAGTCTCGAGGGTAGCGAAGGTTTCCCGAGTCCGGCGGAGTCTCGGGCCAGCCTGAACTCCTCCAGGACCAATTTGAGCTGCGCCAGCCAAAGCTGCCTGTTGAATAAAGAGCAGACGCAAGGTTTGCTGAGCCGCGCTCAAAGCCGCTCGCAGGCCAATCTGGATCACGGCCCGAACCGAGGACTTCTGTCTAGAATACGAAGCCTGAATCGAATCCAGTCCCAGGCGTGTTTGCTCAACGGAAGCCCCTCGGCAGCCTCGAACTCGCTGCAAACTCGAATGATAATAAACCCGGTGAGCAGCCATTCCCGCGAGAAGCTTTACGGGCTGAGATCGTTGTCCAAGTCCCAGGGGGTTTTGGACATATACAGAAGCCTGGAGTGTCTCAGACGAAGAAGGAAGAGCTACCAACGCGCCAAGACCGAGGATATGCTACCGATCTTCAAGCGTCTCGGCGTTGAGATCGACACATCGAACTCCTCGAACACGTCGGACGCATCGGACGCGTCGATAGCGACCACTTGCGACGTAAGCGATATTCCAAGCTTGGGTAACCGTGATACGGGTGCAACGGAGCCCAGAATACACGATAACAACGATAACAAGAGTGCAACAGACCTAAGCGCACCGGTTCCGAGAGCTGTCGCGAAAAATGGCGAGGCTATCAATGATGGATTGACCTCTTCGACCGTAGGGAACATCAGGAATCACTCGAACGAATCGGGAGAGCGAGGTTTCGAGTCGGAAGAGAATTTGGACTCGTTAAAGTCCATCGAATCGGACACGTTGACCGAGGGTTCGGACGAGCATCCGATCATCGGTAAAACGGAGTCGAACCTGCACGACGGCAGGCGTCCCTGTCAACGTCACCATTCCGACGCGTCGAGTCGCTCCAACAACTCCACCACCTCGGACGACAAAGAGGACCGGTCGACGGAGTCCGAGAACGAGGAGCCGAAGTACACGGTGGCGCAGCTCGTGTCCGCGTTCAACAAACATCAGGAAGTTGCTTCGAAGACGAGCTTGGAAGCGATCATGACCGAGAAGAGGATCAACGAGGTGACCTTCCCCACCGGGACGAAGGCTCTGCGACTCTTCATACCGGACATCGATATCACCGAGACGAAAATCGTTCGGCGAAAGACGAGTTACAAGCCCAGGAAGAACTGGGAGGAGCTGAGGAAGAAGGACGAGAAGAACGAAGGCGTACTGAAGAGCTTCGACCGCGACTCAGGCAACGAAGACGACGATGACGACGACGACGAGGACGATTTAGATGGCGACCACGACGACGAAGATGACGACGACGAAGAGGAGAACGAAAATAACCAGGCTCCAGAGAAGACGAAGAACGAGACGAACGCGATCGCTTCCGACACAGTGAGCAGCAACGAAAACAAAACCGGCGTTCGAATCACGACGGAGAGAAAGGACAAGAAGAACGTTGAGTCGACTCGGGACCAATGGTCGATGCTGTCCATCGAGATCAACGGCGACTCCATCTTCACGGAGAACATGGACGTCCGAGACAACGTCGACACCAGAATCGACGAGAAGTACAAGCGATGCGTGAAAGGCGCGAAAATGAACATGCCGGAGACAACGGAGAAGTTGGAAGGTGTGAGTGCCACGGTTTGTCAAAAGGACAGACTACCCAATTACATTTATTCAGATATAACCTGCCACGGTGGTAAGAGCGTGTCTCAGGAAGCGACCAAGAAAACGTCCTCCGTGATGTCGAACGGGAAGAACAATAGAAAAGCGCCGAAAGACCGAGCAAGACCAACGTACAACGCGGAATGCGCGAACGTGAACCTAAAGGATATTCTGCAGAGGGTGGACAGCTTCCAAAATACACCGAAGGAGAACCTGGAGAATCTGAGGAAAAGAACATCCATCGCCAAGATCATCTTGAACGACAATTTGCCCCAAGATGGCCAAGACTTCCACGGTGGGAATGCTTTTCGCGCTCGGAGCGAACCGCCGGCGAGCTTGTGTCGCAAGGAAGAGAATAAGATGAAGCTGGAAGTGCCACCCTCTATCGTTAGATCTTCCTCCATGTCGAGCGACAGCAGCTGTCCGACACCTGGCAGCATACGATCGGAGGTGAACGTCTCCTGGGAAGACGTGCAAGGAGCGCCAGCGTCGAATATCTTTTCGGAGAAGGAAGATCCCGCCGGGAAGTTTCGGAAGAAAGGCGATTCGCAAAGAACTCCGAGCGAGGGGAAGAGCAAGCAGTCCGTGGAAGACAAAAGACTGTGGGGCAGAGTTTGCACAGGGTCTTACAGCAGGGCGATGGAGAAATTCAGCAGGAACAGCGACGCGAATAAGAAGACTATCGGTCAGTCGAACGGATCTCAAGTGAACGAAAAGACTAGACGAAAGAGCAGTCCTGCCATGCCTCGATGCGTCAGCCCGTAAGGGTGGAATCCCTTGCGCGAAGACTGAATCTAGACTTCGAACTTCTCCGGTCGCGGTGACTCGAGCCGCGGAAGGGAATGTCCGCATCAAACGAATCTTCGTCGTGAATACCTCAGAGGACCCGAGAACAAGATACATAATCGACTCTTCGCGCTGTCCTTCAATGAACGAACGTCGTTTCAGTGAGAATCCTCGACTGAGAGCTAACGAAAATATAATCCACGAGCACGCGTCGCTGGAACGTTGACGATGGTTCAGAAACCGAGTCGAGCTTAATCGAACGTTGTAGTCTTTAATTTCCGTAAGCAATAAACTTCGGAAGTCCGCTTCTCTTGAGCCGCGTAGCGTCTGCTAACACCTAGGTAATCCGTCGACCAGTAGACTAATAGATTCCAAGAGAAAGAGGAACCTGGCCATTAGTTGTCCAAGAAAAGACGTGTCTTGTCTCCATTGAGCTACATTCAAAGAAAATGATAGAAACCCCCGAGTCTCGAGTTTCCTGGTGCCTAGGATGGCGAATAACAATGAAAATAGTACAAAAACGATTGCACTTGAAGGGAATGATATAATTGCGAGGAATACCGACATGGACAACTAACAGAGCCATGATGTCTTTATAAGAATGATTACAATGTGATCCGATTCGAAGGAAGTCGCAGGTTAAACGAACGCGTGTCTGTTGCGTAAACGCGGCTGTAGCGAGTTCGTTGCAGAATAAACGAGTAGCGGCCTTCGTTGAAAGAAGAAATTCATTGTAATCGATCTACGAGAAAGAAGAAAAGGCGATGAGGCTTGCATTCAAGAGAATTGCTCACTCGCGAGATTATCTTCTTACGATACAACTTTGCCTTTACTAATTCTATTGCTCCATCTATTGGAACTCGTATAATTGTTTCGTAGAATGTAGAATCCGATTAAAATCGATCTTTCCCTTCTGTTTAAGCATGCAAACGACTATCAACTTTTGTATCGAAGATATCTCAATAAAGACTCTTATATGGTTGAGTATTACGTGCTGTTTCGACTTGGATTTATCGAATCGAGGTACGAGTACCGTGGCAACGATGCGAAGGCGACGCGGGGATTGGTAAAATTAAATTTTATTATAATATAAAACAATTCGGCATCGTCGATTCTTAGCATATTATCGCAGTATAGCAGTATACACAAAATAATCGTAGGTGCGCGGACGTCCGATTATTCCCATCGACTTTTTCTCACTCTTCTCCTCTCTCCCGCCGCGTGCGAAGTTTGGTTCTCCTGATTCCGCGGTTGCTCCGTATTTGGTTTCGGCGGTACGGGTGGCGGCGGGGGCATTATTACAGAAGGAGGCGTGATGGTTTGTTCCCACGTGTGATCCGACGATGCCCTGAACTAAGATCAAAGAGAAAATTCTATATTTTATACCCGACGATTTATCACGAAGCGGCTCGTTTCGCTGGTGGAACTCACCTGAGAATTATACTGACTGCGAAAGGCAGCTTTCATCGCGGACAAACGGTCGCTGCCAGGTCCGTGCCTTTCTAATTTTTTCACTACTTCGCTTATATCTTTCGAACCTTGAGATGAAGTGCCGCCACTCTGAAATGGAAATGAATGAAAAATATCCCGTCATCGACAAGAACGAAGGAACAGATGAGGAATACCGAAGTTGACGATACGTCTGGTCTGCCCCTGAAGCCAAGTCCGGCCCCTCCGACATTCAAACTTTTCCCTTTTCCGCCTTTGAACCTAGATTTCCGGAACCAAGCGCTTTGCATCGCCAAGTCCATTAAACTTTTTGGTACTTCTTGATTCGCGCCTTCCAAGTTTCGAACCAAGTGTCCGGCGAATTCTTTGTCTTTCTCCGTCACGAGGGTGTAGGCCGTACCCTTTTCACCGGCTCGTCCTGTTCTACCTATCCTGTGTGTGTGAGTGTCTATGTCCCGCGCCACATCGTAATTTACAACGGTTTTGATATGTGGAATGTCCAGACCACGGGCTACGAGTAACAAAATCTTTAGAATGCGTCGACGCGCGACCAGAAATGAAAGAACGCAACGATATAATTACCGGCGACGTCAGTGGCGACTAAGGTACTGACATCTTTCTTCTTGAAAGCGGTGATCACTTTATTCCTCTCGATTTGATCCATGTCACCGTGTAACAGTAAAACGTCGAATTCTTTTAATTTAAGATTGTTCGCGAGTTCTTCGGCGTTTAACTGTAAAAACGTAATTCGGGACACGTTTGAAAAAGTCACGTGCCTGTCGGTAGAGAGATTACAGAACGTTTAAAAATCATTTTGATCCACGACTGTTCAGACCTTTTTCGTCACGAAGATCAATAGACTACCGGCGCTCAAAAACTCGACCAAATTCTGCAACAACCAAGTCCATTTGCCGACAGGATTGTTGCTGAAGAATATCACGTGTTGCGTGACGTCAGCGTTCGCTTCGCCGACGTCCCCTTGAACTATTCTGACCGGATCTGTTAGAACGTCCCTCGCGAGCTTTTCTACTCTCTTTTTAAATGTTGCGCTGAACAACAACGTTTGCCTGTCAGGCCTAACGTGGTTGCATATAGAACGCACTTGCGGTTCTGGAACGGTAATCAGAGCGGTAACAAGGTGATTCTTTTATCAATAGGGAATTACGTTTCCTTTCATTAACCCCTTGACCTACAATCTCGTGTCAGACTCGTGAATATTTTAAATAGAATTTCAGAAATCTAACTGTCATTTATTGTTTCTGAATATAAATTCAATATTACTTCTCTTATCAATGGTGAACCTTTGGAGCAAACGTAGACGTATAAGCATAAAGTTTTCATTTCCTAATCAATTATTAACGACGTCATAACTGTATCCATCATAGTTACGAAATAAATCATAAGGCAAAGGGTTAAGGGAATGTGTAACGAGTACAGAGACGATGCGTGTTGTGAATCGCAACGATTTCGTCCCGTTTCTAGCAACGATTCTTACCGAAACCCATATCGAACATCCTGTCGGCTTCGTCCAGCACCAAGAACGTTACTCTAGTTAAATTGGTCGCCTTCATTTTAACTAAGTCTATCATTCTGCCCGGCGTGGCCACTACTATTTCCGCACCCCCTTCCAACGCCTTACTCTGTTCCCATTTGCTACCACCGCCATAGCAACAGCACACTTGAATATTATATACTTTCCCAAACTTTCTCGCTTCTTGATAAATCTACGGGTAGCAACGAACGGTTGAACAGAATTTCCGTGATACTCACAGGTTGGATGACAAGCGTGAAGTACCTGTTGCGATAACTCTCTCGTTGGGGCCAGAATCAGGCCAATGGGTCCGTCGCCAGCCTTTAGTTCCCGTTGATCCATAATATGAACCAACATGGGCCAAATAAATGCTGCCGTTTTACCGCTACCGGTCTTTGCTATACCTATTATATCCCTACCACTCAACGCGGCAGGGACAGCTTGAGCTTGAATAGGGGTGGGTTGAGTGTATTCATTTTTTCTGATGGACTTTATTAATGCATCGTCGAAACCAAAATGTCCAAAACTAGTAACCGGGTTAGAAGGAGAAGGACCAGATACTTTGATTCCTAAAGTCTTTCTTAGGTCATCGATTTGTTGCTTGTTTAAACTAGCAATCTCCTCGTGAACATTATAAAAGTTTTTCTCGAACGGTTCATAGTGTATCTCGCTGTGATCGATGGGTGGCAGTGGATCGATCTCTTTCTTTTTCGGTGGCGCAATCGGATTTCCATCTTCGTCGTACTCGATCTCCTGATCGGATTCCTCTTGTTGCAAACCGGCAGTCGGATTCTCCTCCATGTATCTTTTTATACAACAACCTCATGTTTCTCGGATCTGATGCGTTCATTTCCTTTCAGCAACGAAACATAACTAATATATCTTACCTATAATAGCTCTCCTCGTCATCCTCTCCATCTATATCTGCTCTGAATCCCTTGGATTTGTCTTCCTTACGCTCGTCTTCCGCGAGTTGAGCCTCGAAATTGTTTCTTTTTACTTCAGCGTCTATACCAGCCATAAAAGCGTCCAGTGGATCCTCCTCGCTATCACTGTCTTCCTTGGGAGCTGACTTTTTCATCAAATCGTAGGTAGGAGACCCAGGTGCTGGGATATATTCCAAGGATGATGTTGGAGGATCGTCGTCATCCTCAAAGTATCTGAAAATTATTTATGTTTTCTTATTTCTTCATTACCAGAGACGTGATATAGTTAATAATGTAATATAGATGCATTATACTTACTCTTCTTCTGTCTTACTACGTTTCTTTGGCATGCCCCAACAAGCAGATAAGGCATTTTCGGTGATAGAATTCATGGTATGATAACCTTGCTTGCTTAACGTTGAGTTAGGAGGTGGAGGTGGTATATTAGAACCACTTCTCTTTGTACCAGACATTTGAAAGCCGGCAAACCCAAAACCCCTAGGCTTATTACCTCCTCCACGATGATAACTCATGTTTCTATTATTATCTGCTAAAATATTGCTATATTTATTTCTTTGCTTTAACGTTACTCTATAGCTCCATAACACGAATATTTATTAGAAGCGTATATTTCAAATTGTTTTCTAGTACATCACTTTTAAGCAATATTAATACATTATTATCACAGTACACAACAATTAAAAACTGGAGCGAATGCAAAAAAGACCTAATCAAAGTATGAACTTTTATTATTCAGATCACAGTGGCAATTATAAAATGCGCAACATAACAGTCGTATAGGAATTTATATGGTATTATTTTAAGAGCGTTAAAAAACAATTTTCATTGACAAAAGATGTATTGTTATTGTTCCAATTGAAGAAGAGAGGTTAGTAACTTTCTTAGCGCACTAGCTCTACAGCGTCGAAGCACGTATTTATCCCACAGAATCACTGTTTCGAATTTCCTCAATATTTTCAGAATGTCACATCAGAAATGTATACCTTGCACAATATCGCTTAAGAATTCACTTCAAAAGGTAACTGCACACATCTCAAATATCGAACGGTAAAATTCATTCTGCAACAACTAAAACAGTGCCGCCTTCTCGCGGAATAATTCCGAATAGAAGGGCACAGCGACAGACTTACGATCCTTACGCCGTGATACAAATACCGCAGACGAGACATTGCACTCACGCAATTAACTGAACTTTAATGCGAAAAAACGATAATATCGATCATTAAAATTCTACTCGAAGTTCGAAGAGAAAACCAGATATTTTCATTCGTACGCATTAATCATTGTCATTTAGATTCTATTATCTTTCATTTAACCTTCTTTGAAATTTTCATGTAAAAGAAACTGAATTTAATATTCACCGAAATTCATATCAATTACAATTTACTAAATATATAGGAGTAAGAAGGACAGAGACAGTTGATTTGGCGCCACCTAATGACAACAGCCCGCTACCTTTTGGCTAGAAGTTTCAGCGATATCGCTCTATGTGGCGCCACTAAGTCTGATTAAGGAAGTGGGATTTTTAAAAATTATCGAAGAAACATTCGTACAACTTTTCCATATATGGAAAATATTGCGAGAAATTTCAAAAGTTGAACGAGTAGAAAAATGCCTAATTTTCAGGATAGCTCACTTTTTGGGTGCTCCAAAAATAAACGGATTTGTAGGACAGATTTCTTCAAATTTAACTATCTCAGAAAACAATTTTTCAGTTTAGCTAAAATTTTTAAAGTAAACTTTTAGCTGGCTTCTTTGGGCGAATATCTTACTGTAAAATGCTTTCTACTTTTTATTATTACTTAATCAACTTCGATTATTTTGCTTGTAGTTTTTCTATGCAGCGTTCTCTAGGTGTAGAGAGAAAAGCTGAGTTCCTGATTTTTTACACAGTCAACAATTCAAGATATGACATCGAGTTTAAGTTTGCAATGTTTATCATACTTCGTCTGTGATATTATATTCTATGAATACTATTTCCGTTGAAATATACACGCTGCGCACACTCGTTACTAAGTTACGATAATCACTCGTAGCAGAAATGGAGTATATAGCTAATTTGATTCGTACTAACAAGCCTCGGATCTTAAATTATCGATAAGATACTGTATTACACTGAAATGGTACGAGGGTAGAGACCATTATGAACCTAGACAAATATTCTCTTAACATGTAACGCTTGTACAGACCTTAAGTTTATGAGAATAATAATGTAAGCTTACTCAAGAGAAGATCAAAGGATCTCCTGAGTTCTCGTCGTTGGAACCAAACTTACCGACCTAGGAATACAAAACAGTAATTCTCTAATTTCCGATATATAAAATTAATCCATTGAAAATCAAGGGTGACTCAGATCAAAACTGAACAGTCGCAAATAAGGCAACTTTCCAATTCGAAATTTGTCCAACTTCTGTACACTATATTGAAGCTCGAAAGGTTCGTACTCAAAAGCTAAATATTTGAAATGTTAACTAAGTACTGTTGATCGAGGAAAAACGTAGGCTACATTCTGAAAGCGTATTTGATGCTGCAAAAGTTCCGACGACAAAATCTTCTTCATTCATACTGTTTGAGTTACATAAATAGTTCTATCGCCGCTGAATCGATCGAATATTCGAGTTTGCGTGTTAGCGGAAACGTCGTGCGACTTCGTAGATTTCAGCGTCCGACGTGATCTCATACATTGCGGTTGACATTTCATCACAACGAATCGACTTTCTCGAACACCCCTGGATCGAAAACGTTTCTGTAAGTACCAGGAAGGAGGAGGAACAATCGAACTGTTCGAAACGTAACAGATATCCATTAAACATTCACTCTTGCTCCCTTGAGTCCATCGCGTGTTTCTTATCAAAGTAATCACAACATTTTGAAGAGGCAGAAACAGCTGTGCCCGTGAAACACTTAGAAAAGCTAATATTGTCAAGGCTGTTATCAACTTGAACAGGACTCTGACAGAGATACATTCTAGAATACGAGAGACAAAATGCCATCGGTTCGCCGGATGATCCTTGGACACGTCATGTCCGGTCTGTGCACCAAAATGAACCGCACTAAAAAGCTCGAAGGTGATTTACTCGAGACACCAATGAAAAGATGCCTTTCCACGTTCGACATCACGTTGCTCGGTAAGTTGTACGCATATTTCTCGCGGTAGCATAATAATCGTAACACCACGATATCACGGTCATCCGCGATAACGTACTTCTCAACCGGAAGGGCGCTAATTATAATACACTCGCGTATTATGCGTGTGCATCGATCTGAACGGTAAACTTGAGTTACTTTACTTTTCAGGCGTGGGTCATATGGTAGGCGCTGGCATTTACGTGTTGACAGGAGCAGTAGCCCACGACACGGCCGGGCCGGGTGTAATTTTAAGTTTTCTATTCGCTGGTATAGCTTCCCTGTTAGCGGCGCTATGCTACGCGGAATTCGGAGCGCGAGTTCCGAAAGCTGGAAGCGCTTACGTGTACACTTACATATCCGTCGGTGAATTTTGGGCTTTCGTCATCGGATGGAACATCATATTGGAGCATATGATCGGTGAAGTTATATTATTCGCAGCTCGATTATTCTTATGGTTGATCTCATGGAAATCTGTCGTCGAACAGGCGCGGCATCCGTGGCTAGGGCTTGGAGCGGATACGTCGACTCCTTGGTAGGAGGATCAATCAGCAATTACACTCGACACGTGATGCACGGCTACACCATGGGTGAGCCGCTAGGGAATTTCCCTGATTTTCTGGCCGGTGGTTTGTGCCTGGCGTACGCTATGCTGCTCGCCTTGGGCGTCAAGTGCTCCGCGACGGTGAACTCTTTGCTGACTATCGTCAACCTCGGTGTAATGGCATTGGTGATCGGTTTGGGCATCACGTATGCGAACGTTTCGAACTGGAGCACCGAGAACGGAGGATTTTTACCGTTCGGTTTTGGTGGAGTGCTAGCAGGTATTTTTTCGTGTGAATGTTTATGGATAATTGTGTAGAAATTGTTCATGGTTTCATCGAACGCGTAATCGATCCAGGAGCGGCCACGTGTTTCTATGCTTTCGTGGGCTTCGATTCGATTGCAACTTCCGGCGAAGAGGCACGCGACCCCGGCTACAGCATACCGCGAGCGACCATGTACTCCATGGCGATCGTTACGATCGGGTACGTGATGGTTGGGGCTGCTCTGACTTTAGTCGTGCCGTATTGGAACATTAATCCGACGGCGGCACTTCCGGAAGCTTTCTCGTCGAGAGGAATCCCATGGGCGAAATACGTGATAAGGTGGGTAGAGTAGATTTGCCAACCCTTTCGCTATGACGGAGTTCCTCTCATAGAACGAAACGCTAAAGGTGGAAAGCACAGTCTTCAGGGCCATCTTGTCTCAAAAATGCCATTGTGACAGTGCTTTTAAAAGCAAACTGTATCCATAGCAATGTGTTTATGACTTTTCCATGATATTTCTGTTTATATTGTCTTAACCCTTTGCACTCGAGAGGCGACTCAGTTTGACTGAACGCAGCAAAATGATAAAATGAAAAGTTCAATATAAAATGTTGAATAAGGTATTAACACATGAAACAGAAATAAAGCAACTCTGCCCCATAATGTATGCAAGATGTTTACGTAAGTTCCAAATAATATTAATATTTCGTCAGAAAATAATGAATGTAATGAAAAATATTGAGTGCAAAGGGCTTTGGCTCCATTTTTGTAGTCGACGACAGTCATCTGTAGTAGCGAAAGGGTTGTTTCGAAGATATTCTGGTCGAGTGTATTCAATGAGCTGATTCTACGCGTTGTACAGCGTCGGAGCTCTGTGCGGAATGACAACAACTCTTTTCGGATCTCTGTTCTCTCTGCCGCGAACGATGTACGCGATGGCGAACGACGGTCTGCTCTTCGGCTTCCTCGGCCACGTAAGCGAACGCACGCAGGTCCCGGTTCTGAATCTGGCCATCAGCGGTTCCGTCAGTGCCTTAATCGCTCTGCTGTTCGATCTCGAGCATCTGGTCGAATTCATGTCGATCGGTACCTTCTTGGCCTACACTATCGTTTCAGCTAGTGTAATTATATTGAGATACCGGCCGGAGAAGAAGACACCACCTCCCTCGAACGCGGGCACTCCGAGCAGCGTGACGTCCCCGCCTACCGAAAGCGCTGACTCCAACAGCGACTGCAACAGCGTTACATCCGCTGAATCCGAGGCAAGTCGAGACACATGGAAACTCATTCTAGCTCCGTTCGATGAGTCGCAGTGCCATGTGCCATATTTTCGCAGTTGTTGAACTCGAGCGACAGCGCGGGCGTGTTGAAGCCGCAGTACGCTTGGCTAGCCAACATTTTGGGCAACTGCAAGCCTGGCAACGCGGTGGACGGTTGCGTGATGATCTACACGATCGGATGCGTCGTTCTATGCGCGTTCATAATACTGATCTCTCAAACGCGCACCACCGCGTGGAGTATCGCGGACTATTTTATCGTGGCGAATGTCGTTCTCCTGTTAATCGAAAGTAAGTATTTTACGTTACCACTGAAATCCGTTCTTCGATTAATCGGGAACATCGTAGGTTTGCTCATTATCGGTGCGCATCAACAAAATCATCCCACTGGCAAATTCCGAGTGCCCCTGGTACCCCTCGTGCCTGCGCTAAGTATTCTCTTCAACGTGGGATTAATGTTCCACTTGTCTCTTCTAACTTGGCTACGATTTCTCGTGTGGATGACCGTCGGTGAGCCGATACGCTTTTTAACCCTTTGCACTCGAGAGGCGCCTTTCAGTCGCCATTTGATTTGACCCATGGAAATGATAAAATTTAGAATTCAATATTAAATTTTTATATAATGCATCAGCACATGGAACATCGAAATAAAATAGTAGTTACTTAATTTATGCAAGGTATTTCTTTATGTTAGTTGTAAAACATATCATTGATATTTCATCAGAAAATAATGAATATTTGTTGAGAAAAATATTCTCGAGTGCAAAGGGTTAATTGTGTGATATCGATGAGTTTTTTAGGCGACGAAGAGATGGACGTTACCCTGTTGTTTGTATTTCAGGAATGCTGATTTACTTTTTGTATGGAATCCACTATAGCAAAGAATCTGGCAGCCCGAATTCGTATTCGATTCTCATGGCGACATCGGAAGCCGGAAGGGGCGCGAAATGGGGCGCGACTTTGCGTGTCAACCAGAAAAGCGATAAACTTCCGATTTTAAATAACGAGGAGTTTGTTCGCTAGTAATGCATGGGATGCAGCAAAACTGTATAAAGATACGTATCATTTTCTTTGTCGGCGCTTAAATATTCGTTGATTCAAAATGGTAACAAGGAGAGAGAAAGAGAGAGAGAATGAATGTGTGTCTGTGTAAATGCCTGTGTGTGTATCAGGGAATCCTTGTATGCGTATCTTTGTTTCCGACATTTACTTAGCAGAATTAGTTTTTCAAAGCGAAACAAAGCGAGTCGAGTCTTGTTTATATTTTCGTTACGCACAAATTTGTACATTCTCCTTTGAAATATATTTTACAGGCGCGCGCGCGCGGACCGTGTTTCTTGGTTCCATATTTTCATACGTAAATAAGAGTGAAAGTTTACGAGACAATACATACATATACGTATAGTACAATAGCGGAGTTCAGACGATTCTAAGCGATCGTGTTACGTTGCGGTCGAACTCTTGACGAACTATTGACTGTTTTGAAAATTTGGAGTAATCGCAATGGAACAGAAACGTAGATCATTCCCCAACAAAGGTGTACATCCGTTGCAGCGTTGTCGACAATACAGAATGACTTTGGAATTAATCGAAACCATTAACCTGTTCGCGGGATGTCGAGTCAGCATCGCGTTCTTACGATTACTAGTAATTTTCATTGTTCCGTTGAGAAAGTATACAAATATCGATACGCGAAAGGTTGTTACCGTTAAAGTACTGTAGACGTTAC